TCTGTTATTGATGACGGAACAATGTTGTAAACTGGTTAAAAGCAACAAAAAGGTTGATTATGCATCCTTACAATTGGAGCAAGCCTATAAGAAAAATAAAATCAACTTTATCAGTCCAATTTAAAATCGACAGACACTAGTAAGATAGACTTTTTTTCAAGACCACCAAATTTAAGAGACTGGTGGGTAGAAATGTAGAAAATCTGAAGGCCTTGTGAGCATTATTAGACAGCTAGTTACTGTATGAATGATGCACTGTAGACTTGGCCTGAACGGCAGATCTAAAATAGTAACTCACTTCACTTCTCCGGTTGATAATCCAAACCCTGGGTGCTCCATTTTCAAACCATGAAAGGAGGCAGTAGTTCTTTCATCTGTTGCACTTTGACTTGTTACAAAAGTTCTTGTTAAGGGACCGACCAATCAACATTTACTTCAAGTTTTGCACATTTTGGACCATGTTATGAGACTGACTTGACTGCCATTGACGCATTTGTTTGAGACCCTCTATTCGACCGGGGATTACAGGACAATAAAAACAGCTAGAAACAAACTTGTCGTTGCTGATCAAAGTAGACAATCCAGTCTTTCAGAATCTGGTTTCACATTTCACATAGTCTTGGGAAATAATTTTCTGTGGGTCTTGAGGATCGGTGAAAGCATCAAAAACGGCTGGCAGTCAAAATGTACTAAATATATTATAATAGTACGTCCTGGGTGTCATAGATTACCACTTTATAGCAGAACAAAAGCCGTTTCTATACATTTCAAACAGCTTTCTCAGAGGGTGAAGTAAAGCTCTCATCTGCAAACGTAATATCTTAATGCCAGACAAAAAAGTATTGAAAATTCACATTTCTGGACACGTTTATTGAAGTGGCATTGCGTAGGTAGGACGGTGCATAACAGACATGTGAGCCACTTTCTAAAACGTGAGGATACTAGTCTCGAGTTCACCAGGAAGCTACTCATTCATTGTTTTTATTGGCTCCGATCAAAAAGAAATTAGTCGCGCTTTATCGACACGTGAGGCTCATAAATCATACATGAGAAACTAGATGAACCAGAGCAAGGGAAAACCGCAGAGTCACTGTTGACAAATGAGAAGAAAATCTGGCAAAACAATAAGTGAAAGGATGTAGGTTATAATTATTAGCAATTATAAAGACTGCAGTATGTTTCAAAGGTTTTGTCAGCAATAGTTGGGAGGCAGTGGACCATTGTTACATATATACAAACGTTTTGAGCTAAAATGTCAAATCTATGGCTTAAAAATGTCTCTCCATGGCCTCGTACCAAAGTACATTAGTGACATGTTAGTCTCGTATGAACTGACCAGGACTCTGAGGAGCACCGGGATTGGACTCCTGCTGGTCCCAGAGTCAGAACTAAACGTGGGGAGGCTGCTTTTCAGATTCATGCTGATAAAATCTGGAACAATCTTCCTGAAGATGTGAGACAGGCCTCTTCTGGCAATGTTTAAATCCAGGTTAAAAACAGTCTATGATACCACTCTTATTGTGCTGTTTCTGCTTCCTGTATGAGCTGCAACATTGACATTTCCCCGCTGTGGGACAAATAAAGAATCTCTTAACTTACGTCATGGATTCCCCTGTATAAAAATAAATAAAATCAAATGTATAAAGTGCTTTTCATACAGATAATTCAACAAAAAGTACTGTACAGTTTTAATATCGCATGCCCATGACCCGTTAACCCCACCACATTATTATTAAGTACACCCACACACATGCGTAAACACACACAGTCACAAAATAGGTAATTGCTAAATAGGTAATAGGTAAAACGCAAACCATTGCTTTGCGTTTGGAATGCTAACGTGACATTCTCAAGGTGATACACCGAGTATTTTTGGCTCAGCGCCCTCTTCAGCCTACTCCTCCCATACTTGTCCTGGTTCAACCCTACAGCGGTTTGGTCTCTGTCTCTTGATGTGGTGTAAAAAGCAGACTCCGGTTTCTCTTCCTGCTCCGTGGTCACGTGAGGACTCCGGCCCAGTGTCAGGGTGACTGTGCACTTTACAGTCAGGCTCCGAGTGAACCCGAGCCCCACCTCATTCATTATAAAACCAGCACCTAAACACTATACGGTCTCAAAATGCTCCGCGGGATTACAGTTGCACAGTGTAAACAAAGGGGTCGCATTTCTAGGTGACGTCAAGTTTGTAGTTGAAGTCGGAAATGTACCAAGTATTATGTACTCCTGTTTACATGTTGGATGAATAAAGTTTATCTCATCTTAAATACAGCTTCATGCAGCTTTGAATCTTGACAAGGCGGCGTTTAAAAACAGGGGTCTCCAACTTAAATTTTTAACCCTTGTGCTATCCTCAAGTCAAATTGACCCATTATTAACCTGAAAAAAGTTGTTGGTCTGAATTTTGATTATTTTTATAACTTGATCATCCTTTAGGGGATTATTCTTCTACTTTTAGTCATTGTAGCGGGTAAATATGACCCGAGGGTAGCTCAAGGGTTAAAATAAATGTCATTATATAGACAATTTTAATGGCAAGAAAGAACAGACAGACTGCAATGCATTTCATACCAATTATAATTTAAAATACAAGGCTACAGTCATAATTATGTGTGTTATATTGGTTGACTTTTGTTCTGAGTCAATGCCTTTCGCAGACCAGGATCACAAACGCTTCACATTTAAAAACATACAGATTAAAATAATAAACAGAAAATGCCTTGCAGGGTATTTAGATGTAAGAGCAAATTGTAAACTTCTTTTTAAATCCATTGTAAGAATACTTCCCGGCTCTGACCTAAATGCCTTCAGCCCAGTGACCCTCAGGCCATATGCTGCTTGAGGCGTATAATTGGATTTTCATTTACCAATCAAGTACACACGTCGGCTGTACTCGAGTAAGAAGCACAACCGAGCCAAAACAAACTACTATGACAACACAGTCTATGTAAACAGACTTGTCGTCATTGTGTGTTATGGTTTTACTGCTGTGGCATTACAAAAAGAGTATATATGGCCTACAGAGATTATTTCAACGCGCCTGACGTCACAGATTATACTGTGTTTAGAGGGAAGCCTTCCTGTTTGGACACACCCCCTTTTCCAAACACTGATGTAATATGCAACTTTTTTACAATATATGAATCCATAGGAGAAAATCATAATATCAGTAAATATAAATGTACGGTTCATATTGTTTATTATTTTTACAGCAAATCCACCTTAAAAATAAAGTTAAAATTTGTCTTCTACTCACAATAATTGACAAATGTACTTAAAGCTGGGGTACCTAATTTTAAACTACCAAACATGATAGAACTATGAAATAAAATCTATGTAACTAGTTCCTGAATGGAAAACTGGTTATATCACTAGTTTTGGGCCTCTGTCACATCTTTAGATCAGCATTTTCCCAGACTGACAAGTGAAAAAGAGAGGACCACCTTCATTTAACCAATCAGCTCTCAGCTAAAAGCAAATTGAGGCACTTCTTGTATGAAAATAGCGTGCAAACTATTTTCTATTGATAAGATAGGAGCAAAAGGAGTACACAAAATATATAGAAATAAGTAGCTGCCAATGCCTCATAATAAGAGAAATAAGAATCTATTTATAGTAAGTAGAGGCAAACATTATGTCATCATTTATGCAACAACACTTTAGATTTATTCAATGTTAATGATTTTCCTTTTCGCGGCCCACACTTTAAAAATCAGTCCTAAAATGGAATACGTTATCCTTCTAGTTCTGACTATTATTAGTATTATTCCAAAAGCCGTGGGCCATTTATATCCATGCTTATGAGTCACACCCCATTAAATAAGCTGCAACCGACGTGACTTTATTCAACACACTGCGGGACTGTGTGAAGTCACATTTTATGAAACAGGGGGTGTGATCGACAGACCAGAGCCCGCCCCTAGTGCTTCAGGAGCCGCCTACCACCTCCAGGCAGCCGGGGCCACATGCTCCCCTTTCAACCCGGTCATTCTTCTAACCACCAATGCATTACATAAGATGAGCACAATTCAAGCATTTCCCGTTCAGACGTTCAGACTAATATGATAAGTTTTGCCTCTGCATTGGCATTTTCATACAGACTAGGCTCATATTTGACACATTATGCACATTTTATCTATTACAGTAGATTGTACAACCGTAACACATTGGTACAACTGAAGGACTTTATGATTTTATCTCTCTTTTCTACCTTTTAATGTTCACTTCTTAAAGAAAACGATACATTTTTAGGGGGGTTTAAGATGTAGGACACTAATGTTTTTACGGGTTTGTTTAGTTTTTTTCATTCAACCCCTTGTTTTTTTATAATAGGCTTTTATCAAATGGTTGCTATGCAGTTGGATGGTGAAATTGCCCAAAACCAAGTGAGATGCCCCAAAGAGGTAGATTTCTGTTCCAAGCTTCAAGATGACATATTGATTTAAAATGTGATCTACCAAATAGTTGAGGAAACCATTGGAGGATTAATGTACTGTGAATATTTGTTGTTATTGTTGTTAATGCCATTGTGTGTTTGTTTTCCCTTTGAGTGTGTATGAATTGTGCTATATTACAAATAAACTCGCCATGCTATTAATAATTTTAATCCCATGTGTGATTTTAATGTTTTGAGGTGTTTTAACTACTTGTGTCATTTTATTTTTATGTTGCTCTTAAAGTGTTTTTTTAAATGTTTAAGTAGATTCTAATGTTTGATGATTTAAGCATGATGTGATTGATTGATTGATTGCCTAGACTCTAAATACACTGATGCAACACTGCAGCTTACACGTTGTGCAAGCTCAGAGGAGAAATAACACTGCTATTACATGCTTACAATTCAAGATGGCTTCGCTTATAGCATGTCTAATTACAGCACCTTGCAGCGGCTTTAGTTTCCATTGAGTGTGAGTTACGCCCACTTGTCGAGCTTCATTCATACCCGGGCTACCATCCGCTCTCCCCCGGCCACCGCTGCCACAAAGCCCCGGTGTTTGACTCACGTCTAGCGGTGCAGCGGCGTCCTCCTCTCGCTCTCGCAGCCTCTCGGTCCAAGGATAGACTGGTTTCTCCTCGCTTCCCGTTCGAATTCACATGAAAAGTGCTCTGTTTTGACGGCGAGGGCTCGTTTTCCCTGTTCTCTGGCATGTGCTTTTGCCCGCTAGATTACGTGAAGGGGCTGCACGAGCGTAGCCATGTTTATATACCGCTGTAGCCGCCCCGTCTGTCAGGCTCGACCAATCACAAGAGCGCTTCTTCCGGTCAGGACGCGCCCACATCCCCTCGCCGCTGTCACCCATGGCAACCGATGCAATGTTCTCGAAATGTCCGCGTTAAAAGTTTTATGGCGAGTTTTTTGTTTTTGTATTGCACATTTCATGCACAAGGCGACTCAAATAGCTTAACAAAACAGGACAAAAAAAAATTAAAATCATTAATAATCACAGTTTGTTAAAAAGAGTGGAGATACAATAGTTCAGTTGTTTGCACAGCTACGGTTTTCAAGCTATATTTGTAACATTGTTGAAGCCTGTCTCACATTTTCAGGAGGACTGTTCTAGATTTTAGCTGTGCGAATCTGAAACAATGCCTCCCCATGTTTAGGCCTGACTCTGGGTACCAGCAGGAGGCCAGTCCCTGTGCTCCTCAGAGTCACAGCAGGAGGCCAGTCCCTGTGCTCCTCAGAGTCATAGGAGGCTAGTCCCTGTGCTCCTCAGAGTCATAGTAGGAGGCTAGTCCCTGTGCTCCTCAGAGTCACAGTAGGAGGCTAGTCCCTGTGCTCCTCAGAGTCACAGTAGGAGGCCAGTCCCTGTGCTCCTCAGAGTCACAGTAGGAGGCCAGTCTCTGTGCTCCTCAGAGTCTTGGTTAATTTGCCACTAATACTTTGGTGCGAGGCTATGGAGAGACTTACAAGCAGAGCTGCTGAAATGTCTTTAAAATGAGGCTTAAATACAAATAATATAAGTTTATTTGTAAAGCACATTTTATACAATGTGCAATCCAAACTTGTGACTCAATGATATCAATAAAGTTAGTTTAAAGTGCGTCATTATGACAGGTGTTTTTCTTAGTTTTGACTTTTTGCGCAAAAACATATTGGTCATTTATTTCAATGAGGAAAGTCCTCAAAATACTACATGAAACAGCAGTGAACACATGAATTGTAACAAGAGGAGTAAAACAAAAAAACTAATGCCAAACAAAAATAATCATATGCCATTTTTACTTGCACTGAAGGTTCAATGCCATACTGTGGTCATTGAAAATTTCAATAAATCCACTTTCTTATCAAATGGCCTTGTTATCATAAAAGTCATAAAAGTCACGCGTCTTATCATTTTGAACTTTATTCCACATTATTTCAGAGCTCTGTTTATTCTGGTTTAATTCCATTTGGTCATAAATACTTTGTATGAACTTGGCCTTGGCTCAAGCTGTAAAAAATGAGAGTAACTTTCCGCTTATTAAAATGAAGTCAGTGAAGGGGCCAGAGAGAGAGAAATATATACAGTAGGTCATTGATAAAGAACCAATGCTATTCTCTGGACTTCCAACCAATAGCAGCAGGAGTAGCCATGAACAAACCCAGTATTTCTTTTAGGCAGTTATTCAATTTTAATGACATAAAACATTACAACACATTCCCCTTCAAAGTTTACATGCAAGTATTTTTTCCATCATTGTTTGTAGTTCGTTTTAAACAAGTAGACAGTAGAAATAGCTTGATCCAACAGTGAACCCTTTTTGAGTGTATGAATTAGTTAGTTATTCTGAAAGCATGAGACTTTTGCTTAATGGCTTAACAAAGAAGCAGGAAGTTTAAATGTTCTGTATTTTCTGCATGCTGTATGTTTGTTCCATACTGTATAAGTGGAATGAAGATAATAGGCCCCGAGAGATTCCTCCACTGCTCCGGTCATGCAGGTTAAGTTAATGTGCAACTTGGGTTTTGTCAAGTAAAAAAAAAAAACTTCTTTCAGCATAATAACGGTTTTATAACAAATTATGTAGACCTGTCTCAAGGAAACTACTGTGAAAAAGGTGGTGAGTGGATTGACTTGTTTTTGGCCCAAAACCCGCAGGTTCCTTACACAGACATGTCAGAATGACACAGCATTAAACCTGCTAGATCACTGTGAACATAACAACTAAATATATAACTGTCTTTCAATCAATCTTTTTATGAGGCAATGTTCAAGCCAAAATGTGATGCAAATTTCTTTATGGATTTACATACAGACAAGCCTGGCCTTAGTCAACTCCGGTCAATTATTATACGATGGAGTGGTAAGACATGGGTAAGACCAGGCGCAATTCAGTCTTTGCCTTGATTTTCCCGTCTTACTTAACCAGCCCGACTAGAAAACCACACACTGTATCTGCATATGCCACTATCAATCATAATTCTTTTTAGTAGGCCAGCTTAGATAAGACAAGATAAGAGTCTGTTTGTTCCTACCGCATCGTTGCAGCACACAATACAGAACAGTAGGAGCTAAAGCAGCAGTCAAAGCAAGATTATGACATTTTAAAAAACGCACAGCTGTCATATTTAAAGAATAAATAACAAGTATGTGCGTAAAAATGTTTGCTGAAGTGTAAAACTGTGAAGAAGCCGAGATAAATACCATTAAAAATAGTAACTCCAGGGAATTAGCAGTAGGGGTTTTAATGATGGCAGCAGGAGAAAGATAGAATGAACAGAGACTTAGAGACTTATTATAGAATTGATTATTGAGGGTTAGGACCACATAACCGTTTGCTTCTTCCTACTCCCTTTTGTGAATGGAATAGAAATGTGGTTTTGTTTTATGAGTATATGAAGTATGCACACATAGACATAGAAATATCAGTAAAAACATTGATTTACCACATTTCACATTTTTACATTATCACAGCATTGCACCTTATTACTACTACTGGTCTATCTGGCACACACAGAGTTCATTGTACAGTCTGACAGGAAGGGAAAGACCTGCAGAACCTATTCTTCGCGGGTCTCCCTAAAATCTTGGTATTTTGTCACACTGCAAGCTAACCCCTTTCAATCTCACCGATCTTTAAAAATAATAATAATAATAATAACAGTTCCTAACCCTAACCTTGCCCCTAAACCAAATCCTGACTCTTACTTTCAAAGTTGAATCAAAAAAATAGCAACAAAATGTCAATATTTATGCCCGGGGACGAAATACCGAGATTTTAGTGACACTGCAACCAAACTAAACTTTACTCCCAATTGCAAAAAAACTTGTATCTTTAGAAAGACCATGTATACTTTAAAATGCATTGACCAAGGGAGTGACTGGAGTGAATGCAGAGAGACTTAAGGGCTTACATAATGATGAATGGATATAGAGCTTGTATTGACAGTTGCCGTAGCGATAGTGTCCTATAGGCACTAACACAAAGCAGACTTGTTTGAGCCTGTACAAAATGGCTACATCTAAGTTTACATCAGATTTATGCTGTGGACATTCATCAATTAAATGCTGTAAGCTCATAACATACAATCACAAATACATTAAATATATTTGGACATTTACCGGCTTATTGTGCTGTGATGAAAAGAGAGATTTTAGACACACCCTGAAGGCAAATCCTAAACTTGTGGCTGCATGTGTGTGATTATTTAGCAACAAAACCAAATTATTTTATAGCCTGGTGCTCACATGGTTATAAAAGTCCACACAGGGGACAATACTTTTCATAATGACCGAGTACGTAATGACTGATTTCATAAACAGGTGACACAGGTGACAAAAAGTGTGTTTATTTCGGTAATGAAAATCAAAATGTGAAAGTAACATATGAGATTTAGGAGACGGAGACCAGGGGAAGACCCAGGACGTTGGAGGGACTGTGTCTATCAGCTGGTCTGGGGACGCCTTTGTAATCAATTCATTTTTGTATAGGCCTAAATCACAATGGTAGCTTTCTCGGAGGACTTAACAATTGCTTGATTACGAAACAGTTCAGAGATCAGAGAATCAAACAGTTCAAATGCAGGAAATGCAACGGTAAAAATTCAGGATTCCCCTTTTGATGAGCTGCAGGAAGTGTTCAGACTGCTGCCTACGCGACCCAGCAACAGATAAATATAGAGAGATAGATTTATTACAGACTCGTAGTCCACAACAAAAAATAGAAAAGACACAACACAATAGAAACAGACAACGTAAAACCATAAAGTGGAAGAAAATAGATGGATGGATGTTTACGGCTTCCAATGTTTATGTGAGCCAGTAACCAACATTACAACATGTATAAAAGTCTAGGTATAAAAGTCATTTTGTGTGTATTGTCCATAGACTGTATATATTAACAGACGTAGTCAGGTCTATCTCCGCCGTTCTAACTAATGGGCCAAAAATTGGGCTTTCATGGAGTGATTCAAAATGGCCGCGGGGGCTGGAAAATGTGAAAAAACGCATCTGTGCATGCGTCAGCTGCACGAGCTCTATTCATATAAACAAGTGACTTCAAAAATTCACAGCGACTAAACTAGACTGGTCCAGAACACCCCCTCAGCATTGACACACATGTGGAACGGAGCTTTGGGCCAAGAGACAACTTTTGGACCATCCTGTAAAGGTGTTTTCCAGACGTCTGCTAATGCTATATGTTAGCATTGGCTAATTCTACTTCCGGGTCCACCCCCACAGGCCCGGGGCGGTACTGCAGTATGTCAGTCATTTTGGCCACTTTTGAGCCGGGACCCGCCCCCACTGGTATTGTCATATTAGTCCCATATTTTAAGTTTAATTACAGAGGTTTGTCTTTCAAATGTTCCAATAATCTGAAAACGCATGAATCTATTTCTAAAGAGTTTTGTTAAAGACAGAGACGAGGACAAGTTCAATGTGAGTCCGAGTTGGTTTTGTCTGAAGTGATTCCTTTAACTTTAAAAAACGTTTGCGTCATCAGGGGATTTGCTTTTCCAAACTGACTGAGGAGCAGTTATGAAAACAGGACGCAGCAGAAGAGACAACACAAAAGAATTCAAAGAAAAAAAAATCTCTTTGAAACCGTGATTAGTCTCAATGAACAAAAACTCTGTTGGTTTGTGTTCGGTGGTTTCAAGTTCATTCTGAATCTTTTATTCTATTCATTCACTTTACTCAATTCAAGAGATGTGTTTATTTACT